CAGTGCACGACATCAAGGTACCTATAATAAAGCTAGCAAAAGATATAGTATTGATTAGGAGTCAAATGTAACTTACCACTGAAATAATAACAACGTACACAGATTCCTTCACTCAGTCTCAGTGGGAGTAATGGAGAAGCATGCATCCCTACTCATGGGAAAAACCCCATACATTTCCATGAAATGTGTAGAGGATTTCTGCCTTGTGAGAGTTTGGTGTAGTTTATATAGTTTGTAAAGTGAAGTGTCTGTCAGTGAAAATCTAACTTATCTTTTGGATCTCACATCAACATTAAGGTGTTTATTGTCAATTGTGAGTTGCTGGACCTGTGCTAACCCTGTGGTGCCAAAAGGACTCACTACAAGACAGCTATTCCTGTTTGAGTTACCTGACTGGTTAACAAGCAACAGATAAGCTCTTGTGGGGGGCAGGGTGCCCTGCTACAGGCCAGAGATCCCTGAAAAGAGAAGAAGAGATGAACTTTGCTGTTCTGTCTGTGGGTGTCAAGTCAGAACACATCTGTGTGTTGTTTGAATTACAAATGAACCACTTTTGGTTACTAAGTAATGAAAACAGGATCTTACATCTCTGCACACTAATACTAAACAACCTCATCTCTTCTTTTAAATTGTAATAATGTAGATATGGACTTTTTCAGTGGCTACTGTTCTCCATTTCACTTCTGTCATGTTGCTGTGATGGCTAGGAACATTAGTTAATTCTTTATCATCTTAAGAAATGTGTAAATAGTGAAGTAAACTTCTTCCATCACATAATTTGAAGTACAGTGATAACCAGTAAGCCAAATTTGTGCATTGTGAACCTCCACACTTGTTCATGAAAATTTTATGTTTCCTCTACAAGGAATAACAGATTCATATCAATCCACCTGCCTGGGCTGGCAGTGTGCTTAATTGCCTGCACCTCTAACAACTCAGTAGAAATGCCACCAGAAAAACAATTGCAGGCATGTATAGGAGTGTGTTGCATGTCTATAAACAAAACTCCCCATAGATCTGAGGGAGTAGTAAATTACCAGTCATTAATTGAAGTAATTTCAATGAAGTCTGGCTTAGGTGATTGAAAATCAAAATTTTTCCAAACAAGCATTTTTTCTTTCCTTTACTTTCTCCTTTATTTCTCTATCTAATTACTTGTGGTAGATAATTTTATTTCTGTGTTTCACATGGACATAGTAGTGCTACTGTCTTGCAACAACTGAGAAATGTACTTGAGTTTAACCGCCTACATAAGTATTTGTGAGAACATGGCCAACAGGTTAATTACTTTTGTTATTTTCTTGGAAGAGGCACTGGGTTCTTTCAAGGGATTGATGCCTAGCAGCTATTTTTGGAAGTTGTTAGCAGCAAATGTGAAAAAATGAGAGTTATTTTAATTTTTTTCACACATGAGTGTCTGATAAATGTAAAAAAATAAAGTGAATCCCTTCTTCTGTGTTTGCAACCCCTAGAAGCTTTAATTACTGAAAAAAAAAATCAGGCATAGCTATTCATGCATTTTGAAATGTTTCTGGAGCTTTGCCAGCTAATGTGAGCCAATGTTGCTGAAGTGATTTAGTAATTAATAGGTTGTTACAACATTTGAGTAGAATCTTGCACTCAAGTCAATAAAACTTAAGGAGGAAAAACCCACTGCTGAGTGCATGAGTTAATCAAGGACTTAGCACTCTGGAAGACCATCTGGGTCTAAATAGAGAGAGGACTTCATCTTGTAAAAGGTGAAACGGGGCATTATGGAGCAGCTGGTTCAGGCAGTGGTTTTTGTCTTCTGAGTTCTATGTGTCACCAGAGTAAAATGACCCTATATGTAGTGATTACGGATTAGCAGTAATTAATTTGAAATCTTTAAAATTTCAATAGATTAGCTTCCAATTTTCTCATTCAGGGATGATCTCTCCACAACTTTGGAAAATGACCACTATTTTTTTTATGATCAGAAACGACCATATTTTTGTTGCAAAAGCTGTCCAGAATGGAAAAAGACATATCTACTCAGGGACTGGTACCAAAAAGAAGTACTTAACTCATTGTTCAGTTATTAAAATCAGTGTTGAAGAGCTTGACTTTGCTGGTTGCATGTTCACTTGTGGGGGATCTGCAGTAGGAATGGGAAGGAGCAATAGCAGTAACCATCACTTGGGGGATGATGTATTCTCTGCCTGCCTCTGTCAGGCACCTGTGATACCTGAAACTTGGGAGCACAGGACAGGGACTGTGCATAGCTTTGCCCCAGACACCTTGAGTAGCCACATCCTCAGTTAATGTCCTCTGAATTCGAGGTGGGACAGACTCCTCAATGTCGAGCCCATCACAGCTCTGTACCTCAGTTTTCAAGGGAAAGTTCTGCCCTCTCTCTTTAGAATGGGTAAGTGCTATGGCAGAGGATCATCTCCTCCTCTCTCTGCACAATGGTGCCAGCAGCATGACTCCTGGAGTTTGTAATAGAGAATGGGAGTATAAGATTTGGGATTGAAGCTTTTAAAAATAAGCTGTATGGTGCTCTTTTTTATAATAGAATCTGTATTACAGATCTGCCAACAAAGTATTAATACTTCATTCTTGTTTCTTATCTGAGCCTTGTAACCTATTAAACAAGATTATAAATATAGTCATCAAGAAAAATAGGCTTAAGTTAAATGTTAAATTGTTGCAAAAATAAGAATAATGTTCCTGATTAATTTACTTTGTCAAATAGAACCCTAAATGGTGTTGAAACTTGTTACTTAATCAAAGAACTGTCTAATCTGTGTGCATTTACATTTAAAAAATTAGAACACAATTTCCCCAGAAGATAAATAATTATGGTCCAATTCTATAAGTGTATCTTCAATTGTTAGAGCATACTTTAAATAGGAGCAAATATGTACCAATTAATTATGACTTAGAACATTATTCTTAGCTCATTGTAGAGCTTTATAATTCACTCTTGAAAGAAAGAAATCCCTGTAAAGGCATAGCACGATTTTAGTTCATTTTTTCCTAACTGTTTAATTTTTAACTTTCTCTCCTAAAGTGTTTAATTTTTAAATGAGCTCCACTAGCTACACATTTCATTCTCACCATCATATCTCTAATGCAAGAAAAAGAAAGTTAAATAAATTGGATCAGTATTCAAATTAAAGCCATTTAAAGTGATGCTCTTAAACGTTTATTTTTATTCTTCTGAAGTATCCATCAATCATATTAGCTCTTTAAAAAAAAGAGCAGCCTTGAATGCACAGATGAGGTTTCACTAACAACAGGATGTGTTCTGCAGTGTTACAACCCAAGCAGTACCAAAATAATGGTAATTTTATCCACTTGATTCGGTTAATACAAGGGACAAACAATCCACATGCTGATCTAGTGCCTTGGAACTGCAATTTTCCAGGAATCTCTAATACTAAAAAACCTGTAGACTGAAGAGATTTCGGATATTTAGATAATGATAGAATGCACGCCCAAAATGACTGGACGAGTGAGAAAGCAAAAATCCCCACAAATGGACTTAATTCAATTAGAGGACTCTCTGTAGGAGCGATAGTTAAAGAGAAATTACTTTGGGGACATTTGCACTTTCATAAGCAATTTTCATTTCTACAAAAGAAACCCCCCTATCTACAGTGCCGACTGCAAGCCTCTCACAGGAGAAGTTGGTAGTGTTTCATAGCTGTACATTTTGTAATTTCTGAAAGTAAGCCTTTTAAAAGCAGTATTTGTGTTCGATGTCTTGCTTTGTACGGGCTGAGTTTTTTCACATTGTCCTAATTACTTAGCTTATAGGTACAGACCTAAAACTTTCCCTAGAGCAGTTGATTGGATGATTTTGATTAGATCTGCTGCAGTACTGCAAGTATACTACTACTGATTTGGTGGCAGTAGAGTTTGCTTAGCAAGGAAAATGGTGACATCTAGGCTATGATCATGGGATCAGCTCCATCCCTTGTCTTAAGGTCTCCTTCCTTTCCAGAGATGCAAATGATCCTGTGCTTACTGACTACACTGCTGCTAAAATTGCTGGTGTTGGCCCTTAGAATGTAAAAAATGGCTAGCTGGGAAAGCCCATTGAATTGATACATTTTACTGTAAATTTTGAAAGTGAGGAGTGCTATCTATTCTGGGGTAAGACATCCACTTCTAGGTACATCTGCTGCTGTGTCTGTACTAGCCAAACACAGAGTGACAGTCCTTCCAGCCCACAGTTCCTACCTGAACTAATGGGACAATGGTACAAATTTTTCAGCTTCTATGCCTGTATAGGAAACATAAGCAAGGTAGGAAATTGAAAGCCCAGCTGAGACCTTTTTAGAAGAACACTGTACATATGCACATACTATATAACACATACATATGCACATATATACACTAGGTCTGAATTTGGTAATTTCACTGTAGTTTAAGTTGATATTAATTTAGCAGTAATTACAGTTCTCTATGGCACAGCTGCTTTTGTACTGGTATTATATGCTAAAAAAAACACCCAAATCTTTCTTCCTGACAATATCATATTTAAGTATCATTGTCACAGCACATCCTTTCTTACTTGTATCTTACTATATGAAGATGAAGCACTTTCCAGCCCAAGCAAGAAGGAGTTTCTGGCTGCTCAGGTCCTGTTGTAAAACAGTGGAAAAGACAAGAAGAGCAGATTTGGCACAGAGCCCAGCAGCAGTGATAAGATCCCATACTAATTTGGAGAGCTTATGTTATCTGTAGGTTATGTGGCACATTATAAGTTGATGAACTCCATGACCATATTTTATAGTCTTCTGACAATGTGATGGTGTTATGAAGAAAATGGCAAGCATTTGCTACCCTTTAGAAAGCCCATTAGGATGGCTTGGAAAATGTTCGCAGCAGTAAAGAGAAGCAAATGTAATTTTCAAAAAAGCCCATTACTATTGGACAATAAATTTGAAGTCTCAGAAATGGTCCTCCTTTGTATCCAATATCAGGAGGCTGCTTGTTTACCAAAATGCTAATACTGATTTCTCTTGTAGAATCCCTCTCAATGTGAGAGACATTGTCTACTGTACAGGAGTTTCACTGATGGATGAAGATGTATGGGAGTTCATTTGGATGAAATTTCATTCTACCACAGCAGTGTCTGAGAAGAAAATACTATTAGAAGCCTTAACTTGCAGTGATGACAGAAATTTGCTTAACAGGTAAAAAATATTCAATATTTGAATCTGTTACTAATAATCACTTCAACAGTTATGGATCATCACTTGAGCTTTCATCTAAAGGACAGAAATTTGCTTTTCAAGTACAGGCTTACTGTCTGTTGAAGCCATCTTACACTTTTGCATTAATGCATATGAAAACTGACACATATCAGTTCCAGATTTTCCTTTCTTCATTGGAAATGTTTAAAATCCTGTAATACTTATTGGTATTTTTTTGTTACCGTGTCCTTTATTTACCATGTCTTGACCAATCTGATCTTACAGATCAGTAAAAATGCACGTGTAAAGTTCCACTCAGCTTTTCCTCAAATATTTTTACATCGAGATTTTTCTGATTCCTAAATGTGTCCAGTCTTTGGAATCATAGAAATAATCCACTGAACTCATTTGGAGACTTAAACAATTCAGCAGTGATCTTTTTTTTCCAAAAGTTTTCTGATGGACTGATGTTGGACAATGTGTTTGTGAAACTAAATGTTCTTGTTTCTCCCACTAGACTTTTGAATTTGTCTCTCAACTCCGAAGTTGTCCTGGATCAGGATGCAATTGATGTGATAATCCATGTAGCTCGAAATCCACATGGAAGGGATCTTGCTTGGAAGTTTTTCAGAGACAAATGGAAAATACTGAATGCTAGGTATGGATAAAAATTCTTAATTTATTTTTATTTTCTTATCTTTATATAATTTGTGTAAGTATTGTATAAGTGTGTATTTACGTAAGTTCCTGAATCTAGTCCATTATCTTTTAATCCATGAATAGAGATGTCTCTAAATATGAAATAGCCACACATGAGTCATAAATGCATTTATTCATGGATTATCACACACATGCATAGGGACATTTGTCTCTCGGCAATCATTTGTATATATATTAGTGTATTGTGTCTGTGCTTATGATAATGAATTTTATCTATATGTCAAGGGCTGCAGTCCTATTTCTACACAGAGAAAAAATGGCAGTTCCCAAAGGAATTTTTCTGATTTAAAGTTGGATAGAAAAAATTCCATTTTCAAAAGGATGTTAATATAGTGTCATCCCCTTTCTTTCCACTCTGTGTTTTAGGTGAGTTTCAAGTAATAGGGGAGCAACATTTTGAATTAAAAATTGATGAACAGAAATGAGACAAGGTTGCTCCTTACACCTGCTTCTCTTTCTCTTTGAACAAGTGCTACATGTGCCTACTCTGAAGCCCAGTCAACATTTTAAAATCCTTTTTGATGAAGATTTTGATATTAATTCAATGAATCACATAATTATGTAGTTCTTTAGGGACAGCCTGAGGGCCTGAAAGATTGCACAGCAACTCATCTGATACTGACAGATTAAAAAGGACCACAGCTTGGATGAGATTCAGATTCTGAAAGGCAGGTGTCCAAGATTTTAAGGCATCCCATGCCAGGTCACACCTTTGGTGTTGGCAGGAAAGGCATTGCAGATCTGTTCCATTCTGGACTTGTGAGGAGCCAACTATTGTACCATAGAATATTTGAAATGGTACATTTAAAGTGGTGTATTTAAGCAACTAAATCCCAGTCCCTGATGAATAGAGGTGCAAACTTCCTACAGGTTTTACAGCATCAAAGTAAGTGTCAAAGAAACTCAGACACTGAGTTTAGTTTTCCTAAAAATTCAGAAAATTGTTCATGCTGTTTTGGATAATACTTAGTAGTATAGTGAGATTTTAGAAGAAGTTTATCTAGGAAAATAGGTTTGAGCTGGAATTGGTTTTGGAAATTTTTATTGCAGAAGCATACTTCTTGAAAGCCATTTCCAAAAAAGCTCTAAGAGTGCTGAAGAGTTTAAAAATTAAGAATTCTCTGCTTTTGGTGTGATTATTCCAGGAACTGGACTTTTAGACAGAAACTGGATGGCAGATGTATTACTATTACACAAGCCAGTTCAGATGGCAAATAATTTTTCAGGTTCCTCCAGGGATTTATCCAGAGTTTAGGCATAAAGCCATCACAATTTGTGTGGCTACAAACACATATGCTCTAGTTGTGTCCTGCCTTAGTAAGTATATTTTATCTGACAACCTGCATAGCACCTGTGATTTTAGATGTGGACAAAGTTAAGCAGTGTACACAAATAGAAAATATTTAACAAACTGTGCCACATGCCAAATCTTTTGGGTTATAATTTAAAATAGCTTAACTTCACCTAGAATTTGAATTGTACTTATTTTGCTTGCTTGGGATGCATCATTGTGTAATCTGGATTCATAACAATCAGTAAGGCCTCATAAAAGACCTGTTACTGTCCTTTTTAAAATGAAAATAACGGAGAGTTTGTCTTATTGCTCGACACTCTCTTTGTGTAATCTTCATTCAGTTTGATCTCCAAACACAAGTCAGAGCCAGCAAAAAGATTGTAGCAGTTGCTTTTTCTAAACATGACATCCATTTGAGCTTCTTTTGATCACCAAAAGATTCAGTGCAGTGAAATGAAACAGTTTATGCAAGCTGTACATACATGTTATATATTAAAAGTAATGTTGTTTATAATCACAGATTAGAACCTTTTAGATGAGACTTTGAGAGAGTAGAGTCTAGTTCATACCTTGCCCCTTAACTGTTCAGTGAAACAGTGACACGATAGCATGCAAGGTCCTTCCCCTTGGTCATGGCAATCCCAGGAACACCCACACCCAGGGTGGGCAGAGAAGTGATTCGAGAGCAGCCCTGAAGAGAAGGACTTGGGGTGATGTTGAGGAAAAACCTCAACATGACCTGGCCATGTCCATTCACAGCCCAGAAAGCCAACTCTGGGCTGCATCCAAAGCAGGGCAAGGCAGGGAATTCTGCCCCTCTACTCTGCTCTGGTGAGACCCCACCTGGAGAGCTGTGTACTGTTCAAGTGTCCCCAGAGTATGAAGGACATGGAGCTGTTGCAGCAAGTCCAGAGGAAGGCCATAAAGTTGGTAAGAGGACTGGAGCACCTGTCCTACAAAGACAGGCTGAGGAACTTGGAGTTGTTCAGTCCAGAGAAGAGAAGGCTGTATGGAGACCTAATAGCAACTTTCCAGTTTTTGAAGGGAGCCTACCATGGAGCCAGAGGGGGAGACTTCATCAGGAACTGTAGTGATAGGACAGGGAGGAATGGGTACAAATAGAAGAAATAAGTTAGATATTAGGGAGAAATTTTTACTGTGAGGGTGATAAGACACTGGAACTGGTTGTCCAGGGAGGTTGGATAACCATCCCTTGGCAAGGTTCAAAGCCAGGTTGGATAAGGCCTTGAGCAGCCTGGTCTAGCAGGAGGTGTCCCTGCACATGAGGGTTGGAACTGGATGATCTTTAAGTTCATTCTAGTTCTAAGTTCATTCATTAAGAATGAACTTCTAAGTTCATTCATTAAGATCTTTAAGGTTCATTCTAATCCCTTAATGTTCTGTGATTCTGTGATTAAGTTTCTGACATGAGCTCACCACAGTTCTGCATTTTAAAAATACAAGCTTTATTGTGGAATTATGGTTCAAGAACAACATGCACTTCTTGGAGCAAGTGCCAAGGACAGTCACAAAGATGATATGATGCCTGGTGTATCTGACCTATGAAGAGAGAGAGAGAGAGAGAGAGAGAGAGAGAGCTGGGAATGTACAGAAGGCTTTGGGGAGACCTTACAGCACCTTCCAGTACCTAAAGGGTCCTTACAGGAAAGCTGAAGAGGGATTTTTACAAGGGCATGTGGTGATAAGGCAAGGGGAAAAAGCTACAAACTGAAGGACGGCAGGTTTAAATTAGATAGTAGGAAGAATTATTTTACTGTGAGAGTGGTGAGATGTTGTTGGATACGACTTTGACCTGGTCTAGTGAAAGGTGTCCCTGCCCATAGCAAGGGGATTGGAACTGGATTTTATTTCCAACCCCAACCATTCTAGGATTCTATGATTCAAGAAGACTTTGTCCCAAGGCATCCTTTTTCTACGATTATAATTTATTATTTAATTTGATTCAAATTTAAAATACTTTGTATGAAACATTAATTTAATAAGGTGATATCTCAGTGGTATTTTCCATTTAATTTAGTGTAAAAAGTGTTGATGTTTCAGATAGTAAAGTGAAATAGCTGAGGGGGATTAAATTACAACTCTATTTCCTGCTTTAAACATAGCATGTCAGGGAGTTAGAATTGTCACAAAATATTGTTAATCCTTCATATTTTAAAGTATGCTTGTATTCACATTTTCCAGGGCATATTGGTGATGTATAACATCTTCAAAGTCACTCGTATAATTTACACAGGTGACTTAAAAATTGAGGTGCCCAACAAGTCTTTAGTAAGAAATCTGTGCTACAACTCTGAAAAAGAGAATTGAAAATACTATGCTTGACTTCATGTTACCTGAGCATGCACTACCTTGTCTCCTAAAGCATTTTCATCCTGTGAGCACGTGTCAGTGTGTGAAAATTTAATACATCAGATGCCTATAAGAATTCCTTCATTCTCAAGTGCTGAATCATTTGTCAGCATTTGGGAACTTGACAGTATTTGGGAAGGCATTTATATCTGTCCAAAGTAAATGGACTATGCTGCCTCTAGAGATTGCACAAGTGCAAAGCCTGTACAAACGTGGGGCACTGGAGGGTTTACAACCGCAGAAGGAAAGGTGCAATGGAGAGTCTGTGTCTGCAGAATGTTTCCCTAAAGTTCAGGCATGTAAGGCCCTGGTTCTCTTGTGCTGTTGTCTATCCTGTGAAGGGTGAGAAGACTGACACTTGTAGGACCGAACACTTTTCCTATTTATTCTTTTGTTTCACACCTGCAAAATACTGTTTTGGAACGTGACTTTTCTAGCTTTTTCATCAGCAGAGCTTCTGTAGAAATTGCTGTAAATGGCTGACTTCTTACCAAGTACACATAATGGGCAGTAATCAGCACAGGTGTGCATGAAGGTATCATTTTTAGTGGAAGGAATTCTGTTACTTCTTGTTTGCCCTGTGGTGGCTACAGTAGACTGTAAGAAAAATAAAATTCCTGCAGCTGTTTTTATGAAGTTGCTTGTCTAAAGTGGATTGGTATTGTCAAAATACCCCATCAAGAGGAGCTTCCCGTTTTCCAAACAGTCAGTTATGTTTGAGACTGTAATAATAAAGGGCTTTGTTAGAAAGCCTAAATCTACTTAAAGTACCATGAAATCCCTACTTCCCATAGTTTGCCTCTGGATGTCTGTATATGCCAGTGTGACTGAAATTTTGGGAAAAGATATGTACTTGCTGAAATAGCCATTATTAATTCATTTATTAGTGATCAGGGAGTAGGATTTTTGATACCTCTAACAGTGTTTCTCCTCACAAGAGCTCAAGATAACAAGCAATATAGTGTAAACATTCCCTAAAACAGACTCTTCTCAAAGAGATTGTAGTTCTCTTCCCTCTTCATCTTTCTGTACCTATTGCTTTGGTTTTCCTTCTCTTTCTTTCTCCCCTTTGAAAGAACTGTGGCTTAGAGTACCTAAGCATTTGAGGGTAATCAATTTGGGATTAACAGAAGCAGAACAGAAAGCTGTGTCTGTGCTGGTTCGTTTCACTTTGAATTTTGAACTCTTTCTATAAATCAGTCTGTAAAAGTGGATGATGAATTGAATTGTTCCCTCAGATGAACATAATTTCAGTAAAGCCTATTGGTAATACTTGCACATCTCTGACAGGAGATCTGGATTCCCTATCTTAAAACCAGTCGTGTTTAGATTAGCTAGATACTGCTTTGGACATACGTGCAGATAAATATAAGGGTAACTATTTGTCAAGTGCCTTTTACTATGCTGAATGACATCTAACTTGACTTACTTCTGGTTTCCAGTGGAATTATACTCTTCATGCTGGAGACTGAAAAAACCCCAAGCCCCAAAACAACAAAAAGTCCACAGACTAAACTATTTCCAGCATAAAATGTAAAACTTATGGAGTGATCACTAGGTCAGTGGTGCTATAGTGCTTTATTTGGAGGATTGAAAAAAAGTTGTGGAAAAACAAGTGAATAGAAGGATTTGAACAGCCAGTTTCAAAGCAACTGCCTGCCAAATGTCATTCCTGATTGCTTCTGCATATCCTTTAAATATTCCTTGCCCAGGCTTTCAAATTTTCATTCCAGGTTGGTTCTTTGAAATGCTGCGTTGTGGCCCAGGGGATTATTTTAGTAGTATTATTCCTATCAGCATTATTTATTTTAATTATCAGGTAGTGGAACAAGAAAATTTGATGCAGTTCAGTTTTTGAGAGGCTATTTGTAATGTAGATGAGATGGATGAATACAAAATATACAGAAGGCTGCAGCACATCAAAAAGTCTGATTTAATGGTACAGCTTGAAGGGTTCCTCAGAATAATTCTCCATAGTTGCTGCTCTGCTCCTTCATTGGCAAGTGTATTTTGAGCTTTATTTCACAGAATCACAGAATAAGCTGAGTTGGAAGGAATCCACAAGGATCATTGAGTCCAACCCCTGGCCCTGCACAGGGCCATTCCCAATGTGTGCCCAAGAGCATTGTCCAAGCACTGCTTCAACTCAGACAGGTTTGGTACTGTGAGCACTTCCCTGAGAAGCCTGTTCTGGTGCCCAACCACACTCTGGGTGAAGAACCTTTTCCTGATATCCAACCTAAACCTCCCCTGACACAACTTCAGGCCATTCCCTCAGGTCCTGTCAGTGGGCACCACAGAGAAGAGATCAGTGCCCATCCCTCCTCTTCCCCTCATAAGGAAGTTGCAGACTGCCATGAAGTCCTCCCTCTGTTCCATTTAGTGGGAGGTGGTTTGGTCCTCTCCTCCTCTGGAGCACTCATCTGTGCCTGTAGTTATACCCATTCTGCTTAATAGCATCTGACTTAATAATTACAAACATTTCAGCCTAGAAGAAGGTCTCAGTCTAGGTTTTCAGCCTGAAATACCAGTACCCCATTCCAGTGCTATTCCCTTGATCCCCCCAAATCAATCCTATGCCTTCTCTCTTGATTACAGAAGATTACTTCCTAGTTTTCAGTTGACCTGGCTCTTGCAGTAACTCTCTGTGCATCTTCTTTTTGCCCTTGCAGGTATGGAGAAGCATTATTTATGAATTCAAAGCTTGTCAGTGGGGTCACGGAATTCCTCAATACTGAAGGAGAACTAAGAGAGGTAATTTTTAAAGTACTTCTGCCATGTGAGGCTGTGTTCATTGCAAGCAGGGAGCAGGGCAGGAACAATAATACAGTTGTCCAGAAACTCTGTTCTCTCTGCTGCAGTTGAAGGCCCAACTGCCTGTGCAGCACCAACCTGTTGGGCAGCACAAGGATGAGGAGCAGATCACAAAAGCACACAAGTGTGTAGAGTTGGTGTCAGGAAGGGTACTGTGCAGGCAGTTCTTTGTGCTCGGCTGGATATGAAGGTTTATCTTTTTCTCTTCACTATTGGTTGAGAAACTGAAGATGAGATGTTTCTATCTTCATTAGCTTATGCTGCAGAGGGCAGACCTCGAAAACGTAAGTGTTGAAAGTAGAAGCTGCCAATGTGTTCTCTGTTTTTCTCAGAGTATTTTCCATGTGAGAAAATCTGCTAACTGAATATGCTGGCGAAATGACACCACAATAATTTGTACTTCTTATTTAGATGGGAAAGATTTAGATGGGAAAGATTTCTCATTTTAACTTCACACCAGTTCTGACTGAGGTAGCTGTACAGTTGTGCTGTACCCTGATTATCACCTACTCAATGCTGCTCCAAGTGGATACAGCGATTCTTAAGCAGCACAACCACTATTATGTGAACTCTGATTGTACTCTGATGTTTTGCATCCAACCATTTGTCTGCACTCAAGTCTAGTGGCCTCAGTAGCTTAGGGAGTGGCCACAGGTGGTTTCCTCCCTTCAGGTGGGAATGACACTGTTTGTCAGATTTGAGTTACTGCCCTGCACAAGGAAGCGTTCTGTACTCTTAGTTTCCACCTTCATGACAGGATTGGTAAGCTGCCTGGTTATACGTCCCTAAAAGAAACTGGTATTGTAAACATTTTGGTATAAAAAGTACAGAGATCAAGTAAAGTCTGATTTTGATAGTTTCCAGGTCCCTTTCATGCTTTTAACTGTGATGGGAATGAGACAGTTGCAGAATCAACCTTTTCAGTTTTGAGCCGAGGCTCAGAGATGTTGCTGGAAGTCAGAGTTTAGCAACCATGATGAATTTGGTGTCACCAGGAAAAAAAAATAAACTAGTTATTCGTAAGTGTTGCTAAAACCATCTAATTTTGTACAAGTCAACATAACCTGCAAACTATTGTGCAGATCAGCCTTTCAATTTTCACTTAAAAAGAACAACAATAATTGAAAACCTGCCAGCACCATTGGGTATAATAATCCAAGTGCCGGTGCTGTACTTTGAGTATACACAAGAAGAGAACAAGAGCCTTTTCAGTCTGCAGAAAAAAAGGTCCAAGTTTTCATATAAGAGAAGGAGTATGTTTCAGGCATTCAAAGATTATCAAATGCATGCCTACTTGCTGTTTTGCCATTCTCTTCTCACTGTAAACATCCCTTCCTTTTTTCAGCAACTGACCTGTATTATATAACCAAAAGGGATCTGCATATCAAAATAAAATTAATGTGTTTTGAAGCTTGATAAAACCAGAGGGCATCAGTACTGCCTTCTACTGATATTTGCATATAAACCTTAATTAGAAGCAATTCCAGTGCTCCCAGTTTGGTTTCTTAGGTACAAATAAAAGTTAAGAACAGCCATCTACGCAGTGCAGCAGTTGAGCTGCAGGAGGGAAGGAGGTAATTATATTAATATGATCCAGCACTGACATATCAATATCTTCCAGTGCAATGTGAAGCAATTGCATCACATCTAATTGACAGTTTGGTGTCTTAATATATTTCCTATTAAATCTTTCTACCTGATACTGCATTTGCTTCTACATTGATTGTGGAAGTTTGTCCTAAATGGCTGACTTATTTGTATGCACTGGAAAAACTTGCTTTCTTTAGTTGCTGCAAATTTAACCTGTTAACTTGTATTTCCAGCTAAAGAACTTTATAAAGAGTTACGAAGGGGGAGCTGCTGTCTCTTTCTCTCGTGCTGTCGAAACAGTGGAAGCCAATGTGCGGTGGCAAAGGCTTTATAAGGAAGAACTGTTCCAGTGGCTAAGAAAATCCTTGACACAGTAATCTGTCTTTTTAGCCAATCATTTAACATGATGCAAGAGGATTCTCACTGCAAGAGGAAGAGGAGACATTTTAAAAGTGTTCAAGATGAAAATCATGAAGACAAGATCAGATTGCAGGGATAAGGTTTTTTGGTTTATTGTTTTTTTCATTGTGGATTTTTCTTTTTACACTGAAATCTTGTGAAATTGTCAAGAAGATTTTCAGAAGAGAAGATCATGAATGCTTGTGAAACCCGGTCCTCAATGTACACAACCAAACATGATATTAAGTGGTGCATGTAAATGTTGGGAAAAAAACAAACAAAAATCCTTCAAAGACTATTTTGTGCATGCTTGTACTGTCTCTGCCTGTATTTTAGCATGCTTATGTATAACAGCCACATTTTGTATGTGAGTTCTGGTTACATCAAAGTTGGGCATTATACAAAGCACAAAGACTCTACGACAATCACTGTTTCAATGGACAAAAGGAAAGCCAGGAACAGGAAATGCAGAAGGCTTCCAGCTTGGGGCGGTATGAGATGTAAAATCAACTTTCCCACTTGCTGCCAGTTTGTCTACCACTCAGATTGTCTCTTAATGATTACAAAGATGCCAGTTCATTTTTCAAGTTACCAGTTGTATCTGCAGTCTCCATATTCCTTTACTTAAATAAGCAGAATAGTGAGAGAAGAGAAATAGAAAAGGGCCAGGAGCAGGATTAGAGAGAGAAAATGAGAAGAACATCATCATTACATTATAATCATATACATTTGTTCATTGCTGATCAGTGAAACAGTGTAGTTTCAACTGTGAACATCTGCTGGGGCAGGAGCTTTGCAGTGATATCACAGAATCCATGAACCACCTCTTCTCAGCTACTTTACAAGGCACTGAAATTCACAATGGATCACCCAGATCACCCAGCCTGTGCAGTAGTAAGTTTTATAGCTCATAGTGCACAAGTATTATAAATAAACATAGGATTCAAATGAAAATTAGGAAAAAGGGAGATATCTTGCATGCAAAGACTTAAAATTACCTAAGAGGGCTGTCTTTCATGTGGTAGACCAGTCTCTGTAGTGATTTATTATGATAGACAGGTCAGATTCTCTGTATGGGCAATAATTTTGCAAATATAGAATGTACTATTTATGCCATCATTGAAAAGTGAAATATGGAGAAAGTGAGGGGGGTGTACATGTGTTTATTTGTACTGACTAATACTAAGAACATGGTTTTCTTTCTGTTCCCTTGTACTTCACATAGACTATTGTTCATGAATGACATTTTTCTTAATCAAGTTTGTTTCTTCTCAATCCTTAATCTGAAAGATCAGTGACACAGTGGAATTGTACAATGACTATCTGCACTCTGAAGCTAAATGCTGAGCATAAAACTGGAGGGGGGCCAAATACTCTCTCATGTCTACACTGTGGAGGAAAAAGCCACAAGAATACAGTTTTCAGGAGTCAGATTGCAGCAGCTTCAGAGGTAGAATGTAGATGTGGGGCAGTGCTTCTTTGTCCCGTCCCAAGCTATCCCAACCATCTGACCACATCATGGCTGTGTACATTGGGAACACATGGCCCACCAAAGCAGAGAGCAGCCATTCTATCTGGTTGTTGCCCTCACAAGGCATGGAAATTAACTAACATGCTTTACACTTGCAGTTGCTTATCCCCAGTAAGTTGTGAATTGAAACATTAGTGTGAAAAGAACCAAACCAAACCATCTTCAGATATTTTCAGAGTTATGTGGAGACAGTATTGTTTTCTGGGCTCTCATTCCCAAGGTATTCTGCTCCTCAAAAACTAGCAGACCCATCCCAAAACAGAGCTGTTGTGCCCGTTTTGCACCTGTCATTGTGTGCCCTTTACTTTTAGAGGCTGTTGTTTGTGGATTGGGTGCATGAAATCCTTGTGTGGGCATTTGTTCAGCTGTTTGGTGCTGTGTAGCACATTAGCTTGACTCATGTATAACCAAAAGAAGAGGAAATCCTGTGCTCTTGTACTGTTAACTCTTTGCCTTATAGCAGTAAGCCCTAAACCTTTGTGCTATGTTGCAGTGCTAGTGAACCTGCTGCCCAGAGACACTATCATGTCAAAGCTGAGTGAAATCCTCCTCCTCCTTTGTATTTTACCTACCTCACAGGGGTGTTGTGAGGCTTGACTAATGTTAGCAAAGCACTTGAATATCTTCTTATGAAAGGCATTTAAAAGTGAAAAGTATTATTTTATGCGGTTGACCAAACACGACCTTAATGCCAGTATGTAGCGTCACATTTTTAATTTCTACTGAGAAAAATCACATGCAGACTTTTTTTAATAATAAAAACGCAAGCCAAATACTATTTAGTATAACCTCTACCCTGTAATGAAGGCCAAAATTGTGATATCCAAAGAGTGTGCGGAAAGCCAAGCCCTCAAATATGAATTGCTTGGAGGATTTCAGAGAACAGAAGAGTGTGAAATGGTCTGTACCTTTACAATTTTAGTCAGTATTGTCTTTGATGACTTTTCTTTTCCAGAACCACAGATGGAACCACATACCTTGCAAGTTGCACATAAAAGTTTCTGGTCTTCCCACTGATAACAGTATATTTCAAAGTCAAAAGTTCATTACAGCCTGTGTGTTCTGCACAGTGCACAGAAATTCCCGCTCTTGCTCATTTGGATTGAAGTTCTTGCACATTTAGCTGGTGTTGGATGTAAATTGATATTTTAGTGGCCTTGAGCAACTGGTCTACCACAGATATCAAGTCCTAAGTGTATACATTATACATACCTGTTGATGTGTTGCTTATATAATGGTTGTATTCTTATAATGTTAGTATTATTGCTCTAAGGTTGAACTGGCCTTTCCATTATAATTCTCTATTATTTTATTTTTTATGTTTTGTATTTTGCTGTTTCACACTGAATCGGGATTAAATTTAAATGGATTAAATCTAAAAAATCCCATAACTGTTTTCTGCAATATTCAAACATCCTGCATTTTATTACATGTCTTTAGAAACCTTTTTTTAAGAAGTTTCACACAGCTGTGTGTTAAAGAATAGTTGATTCCTCATGGAACGTTCTAATACAACCTGCTTAGAAAAATCTATTTATTTTGATTTTCTTTCTCTTTTATCAGTCCTTTTCTTCCCTTGTCCATGTCTAAAGATGGTCCTCATTTTTATGATTTGGATTGTGATTAGGAAGCCAACTACTCCATACTTTTCAGCATTTTCTAAACTAGTGTTTAACTTTGTCCTTTCTAGTGAGAGGAGAATGTGCAAAATGTGAATGCTGTGTGGGCATGGACATGGGTGTCATTTTATAGAGATTTGATGAGGGTAGAATCTTTAATCAGCCTTTGTATGACTCAGGATCCTTTATAGTTATTAATTGATATGGTTTCTTAAATCATATAGGAAGACATATGAATAGACATGATTCTATGCCAGCATAACGAAACAGCTATTGTTTTTTTATAAAATTGTCCACTACAAGTATCTGGCCTATTACTTTGTAGCTGGTAGAATTATTCATGTATCCACTGCTAATAGCTGTTAAAATGGTACTAGCTACTAATTGTGACAAGGGCAGAACACTGTGAAAGCATTCTTCTGAAATGACATGTCATTTCTGCTATTACTGGGAGTACTTGGACATTAATTATGTTAAAAAAAACTGCATGTGTTCTCAAGTGCATCTAAATTTGTGACCTTCGATTATCTTTTCAGTGAATATAGCAAGAATTCTGATATTACACTGGAAACTGAAGGTGAATTTTGTGTCATTTTTGGTCAGTTGTAGGTATTCCACTGATCTTTAGAGTGCCAAAGGAAATATGCCCTGATGTGAAAGGGCACTTTCACAGCAAAGATCCTGAGGCATACAATTAAGTCTTTAGTAGTAAGTAATAAAAAATGAAAAGTGTTTGTGTGGTGTGTAGGTGTGTGTGTGTGTCTGTGTGTGTGTATGTAAAATCCTCCATAGAGATACTTTTCCCATAAAAATCTAATTTGGATAGACTAAAGCAAAGCTAATATTTGCAGGAGAGGGTGCCTTTATTTAGATACTTGCATAATAAGGTTTTGGTGTTTCACATGATCATAAGTGATAGTGAAAATAGACTTTGAGGAAAATGTGCAACTTCCTCTTTGAGGTTTGAAAACTGCTAATGTATATAATCAGCTTATACTCCCTCTTGCTATGACTACTCACCATATCAGGCTGCCTGCCCTAAGCAGGATATATAGCCACAGTGTCAGTATGCATATGAAGGAGTAAAAGGACCATCCAGCTGTGGAGCAGCCTGAAGAGAGTCTGTTTGCACATCTATGGATGGAGCAGTCAGACAACTGCTGGCTGTATCACCTGCCACTGCTGCCAGACCACCTGGGTTAGGAAAGCAGCTGGGAACTGCTGAAATGCAGAAGGGCTCCATCCAACCTTTTTTTCAGCTGTATGGAACAGACAGAAGGTCCCTTGGCCTGAGTATGGGTTGTGGGTGATCTTCAGAGATGAATGCCATTGCCTTGTGCTAGCAGAAAGCAAATATCCAGCTAATGAACCTGCACTGCTCAGAAAAAACTTAAGCCCTGAGCTCTGGCCACCCCAGCTGAAAAGCACTGACCAAAATGTTTGTAAAGGTCTAGAATATTATAGTGTCCCTTCTTCAGAAGTATTTTCAAACAGTCAAATATTTAATTTTCAAGTATGAATAGGAACACAGACACTCTTTCTTTATGATATTTTTGTTAATATTTGAAAGTGTAACAGGAATTTCTTGGGTTTTTTCTAACAGGTGGGCTGGAAGGATGTACTACAAATTATTTGTGGTAATAATTCCAGTAATAATAGTAACTGTATTCATACCATTAAAAAAACAAAACAAAAAAAACCCCAAAAAAACAAAAAAAAACCACCAGATGCCTACATAAACCTGTATGGCACCAGTGATACAGAAATTTTGCATACAGAAATGTAAAAAATTGGTCACTTTGTTTCTCATACAATTCTGCAAGGTTCTGTCAGTCTTAATATGGGTTCTGAAACTCAGTGAAACCACTCTGACTTAAGCAAGTAGTCCATGCTGACATGAGTAATTTTGTTTTCAGTAGGCAGGAAGAGAAGAAAGGATTTTTCGCCTAAGTAAGGCCACATGCCCTCATTGGGCAGAATTTTAAAATCAAGTATATTTTGAAGAATCTGGTTAAACTTAGCTCTGTCTTGTGTCCATGCTGACAGTGGAGAGGGATACTGAGCTTGATCTCTGAATATGGTAACACAATTGAGGCTGGAATTTAAAAGACATATGGAGCCAGTTTCATTGAGATGTGTTTGAGGAGAACCACCCACATGAGAAGTGCTGTGAATCAGACCAAATGTAACTTCTCAGAAGAAAAGGCATTTATATTTGACTGATTTTTAACTAGTGAAGTAAGTGTGACCTTGCCAAACAGAATTTCAGAATGCTTTGCTTATTTCATGTGTACCATTTCCTGAGAGCATCAAAGCAGTGCTGGTAGAGAACACAGGTGAGCAGGTTTGTGAGGGCAGAGGGGCTGTACTGCAGCAGGCAGTCCTGTGCCAGGAGGCTCTTGCCAGAGTGTCCCAGTGTTTTCTGGACAGTGTCACTTGGATTTGCTTGAGCAGGATAGCCATGGTACGATGGACCAGGCCAGGAACCAAGATGCAGTCTCAGTTCTTTGTGATACGTTTCACTCCACTTAATATGTTGGTTTCTGTAATTTCAAAATGATCTGCAGCCAGACTGGTGGAGTGTGTGTGGCTGCAGAGCTTCTGTTGGTGCCCAGTGAGGTAGATCCGTTGAAGTGACTGATGTGAATTCCAGCTGAGGATCTTCCCCACTGCTCCCAAGGCAACCCTGGAGGTGGCGCCTCGGCTGCTGTACAGGATGTTCCACGTATTTGTATCTAGGTTTCAGTAGCACATATTGGATGACAAATGTTTTACATTTTCCTTTATCTTTTCATTAGAATAATACTTTGTGATTAGTTCCAACATGATAAAGCTTTATAATATTTTTTGAGAACTGTAGAATACTGTACTGTGAAGACTGTGGCTACTACCCTCTCTTTTTCCTGCAAACAGTAGATTTCAGCAGAGATGGACTTTCCTGGACTTAGACACTCAGTGAAGAAAAAACAAACTCTGACCATTTCTAATGGAAAAATCATTGTAATTACTGTATAACTATCCTGTATAAAGACAGCTTTATTATATGTGCAAATGTAATTTTGCTATGTTGTTGTTATGTTTGGGAGACAGTAGGCTTTGGTGTGGGTGAAACATAGAGCCTTATAAAAACAGAGATTGTATCTCCCTGTCTGATGTTTTACTGAAAGGTGTTGCTGTATTTTTGCAGAAGGTAAATATAAACTAGTTCTCTGAAAAACTAACTACACATGCAATGACATAAATGAATCTTATTATTGAAAAGAAAGGACTGATGATAAATTTCATTATTTTTCCAAAAGACTCCACATGTAAGATCTTTTGACACCTTGAGAAGAAAGAAGTCATCCTGCAGCTGTTAATGCTGGTTATAATGGATGAGTCCCTGTGTTAATTCTGTCTCAACCTTAGATTAATTCTGAATACTGTAATTAGAAGAACATATTTTTCCATCAGTTCTCAAATCTGTACTCTTTGGAGTTCAGGTTTTTGTCATGTAAGAGGTATCATGTAAACTGACTTTGTTTAGATACAGTTCATCAGTGTTTGCACATAAATGTCTGTTTGCCAGATCAGAATACCATTTTCATATAGAGAAAATACTGATGATTGCATAATATCACATTTCTCTTTCTATGTACCAGGTGTACATGCATGTATAGCTTTTAGTTCTGGACATTTTTCTCTGAAAAATTATTCATTGGTTATTTGTATTTATAGATCTTACCCAAACAGTTTCAACTCAGCAAAACAGTTGGATGTAAGGCAGGATGTGAGTCTGTGTTGACCAAGATTCCACCATATATATATAAAAATCTGTAGGCAGTCCCACTGATGTCTATGGGATTAATCATGCACTTCAAATTAATGTATATTCACATACGCTCCTGCATATGACTGAACTAGTATTTCTGGAATGTGAGTTAGGTTAAAACCTGTTCCTGCACAGGTTTCAGGTGCAGTATATGGTGATATGTTTTTGCTGAATTTAAAATCACAGCTTTATATAGAGCCAACTACTCTCTCTCATTTTTCTTTTTTTCATGGAAAAGGATATATTTTGCATATAGAAGGGAGATGTTTACTGATTCTCAGTATATCTAAAATGCCACACTGAACAAAGTTTTTCATTTTTTGGAGCCTTTTAGGCGTTTTGAATAAAAGCAGAATTATTCTTACAATGCTAATTAGTGAATATAGAAGTAATCAGAAATTGAAACCATTAGCCAAATAAAATATATGAATTTATGAGAACAGTGTTTTTTGTTACACGCCTTTAACAATGATTACATAAATATGGGACTGTTGTGTGTTCAACATAGAATTTTTATTCCTCTCTAAGGACTGACTAAATGGAATTTCTTTTTAAGAGAAACTTGATCTTCTGTATTTTAAGCAAAACAAATTTGAATTTTGTCTCTGATAATAAAATTTTGTATAGTAATGTGTAATTCATCACTGTCTTAATTTTCTGATGTGGAGACATAGCTATGATAAATAATGCCCAACCTTTTGATTTTGTTCCCATTTCACTGAGATAACAGTTTAATGACTGAGTAGATATGCTGATGTTTTACAATGAAAACCATGCAAGAGATGGTATTTTTTGACATGAGGAATTTCTCAAAACATATTAAGATTCTGGGACTAGTAGAAAGCAGAGAACCAAAGAAAAATACAAAATCTGGGCTTGGAGATACTCTTAAGCACTTCAAGACTGACAGGACTAAGACTGGAGAAAAAAAAGAAAAGTCTCTTGTGCTTTTCTAATTATG